ATTAAGCAATTTTACATAAAGGTTTACGAAGATCAGATTAACCATTGGCTAAATAAATAACATCCCCATAGTATTATTCAAATAATCAAAATAAAATATATTTGAAATTTGTATGAAAAAAAAAAGCTTATAAGTATCTTCGATGCACTATTGATAGTTTGTAAGATGTTAAAAAATGGAGCCCATAAATATGTGTTTTAGTTCATGTTACGCATGAGGACTTACATCACTAGAAACTGGGTTTCAATACCCGTGGTGGGCAGAACACAGATAACCCATTGTGTAGCTTTGTGCATAACTACAAACAATTAAAATCATATTACGTTATATTAAAGTTCTTAGGAAAATGTGTTTAAATTTGCTTTACAATATTTAACGGTTGTTAAAAAGGCATTTGAGTTCATGTTACAATACATAACAATTATAAAAAATATTGTATAAATTAATATAAAAATTGTAAAGAAGAAAATTTTTCAGTTTATGTTATAGTTTAACAAAAGTGAAATAGGCCTACCAAATGATGTCTACTAGAGAATTTGTTAAAATGTATTTAATTGTCATATTTATTTTAAAAGATACAAGTAATATTATGGGAATACTTTTTGAGTGCTAAAGTTTTAGACGAGTGGTCAGATCGACCTATGATTTTTTTTCAAAGTTGTCTTAAAGATTATGTACGTTATTCTATATTTCATCATATAAAGAGTTTGTTACACAAACAGGGCTTGACGCATAAATAAACACACATACATAATCAACTTACCACATATTAACATCACATAAAAACTCTAGTGTTGTAACACTAGCCAAAGATTCACGGTAGTCTGCCAATACCGATTTCAGCTGGAAATGCAAAATATAAGTAATGATAATTATTATTCCTAAGAATAACCAAAATATGTCCGTGCCATAAAAGATTATTATAGTATTCCTACTATATTACCAATCAACTTCATTTCTATAAGGTAAGTATTTTAGATACTAATAGGTGCACATTTGTTTTAAAACGTATATTTGTAGCTCAAGAGTTGTGACAGTATTGAATATTCCGGTGTATAATGAAGCATAATCTCAAGATCGGTATCTCAAACAATACTAATCAACAACAATGAATACTGTTCTATTTAATTTTTGTTTTGTTTTTGCACAAAAATTTCTTACTAAAAAACCATACTTAGAACTGGGGTCCAAGTAAAAGCAACTGATAAAATAGTTACGTATACTTTAGAACAACCAACAGATTTTATATAGCAGTTTTTATCATTTTCTTCCCCTATACCAGTATTAAAACGAGAAGGAAGAAACAATAATACAATCTATACTTGTTGATCTTAACCTTGGAATGATGGACATCAAGAGCTAGTTATGGCCTAATGGTTATCGTGCCTGGACTGTGAATCTGATCATTCATGTTTCGCATTCTTTTCCCACATAAATGCACTAGGCAATTTGTGGCTGTGGATGCAATTTAAAAGTGACAATTAAACCACACTATTCGTTCAGGCAAGAAATGACGGTGAATGCAATTGACTGGTTGCCTTCCCTCTAGTCTATCGTTTTGCGCAAAACTAAACAAACAAACAAAGCTTGTCGGGAAAATGGTTAATGTGTACCTCTTTAATAAAAAAGGAAAAGACATTATTTTCTCACATCTATCAAAATGTATTACATTATAAGCATTGTTAGACTTATTGTTAGACTTATTGCGACTTATTGCGACTGATGATTTCTCACTTAATCAGATGTCTTTTCCCTTGAGATTGACATAAAATCAGTTATCTCCTGTTAAAGCAAATGAAAAATGTTTTTCCAACACTAATGTAAAAAGAGATATTTGGTACAAAACTTAAGCACGTGAACAGTAATAAAGCATAATATACGTATATCTATTTTTGTATTTAAAACCTTATAGGTTATACATATTAACAACGAATCTCTGAGTTAACCTGATCAGTTGTGTAATTTATAGCAAAAAATAGAATCCAAACGAGGGCCGGGAATCCGTAAGAATTAAAATATAGAGATCTGTAGGGCTTGATCTGAGGTGTCATTTGCTGTGGCTTTTTCTATGGATTCAGTGTTCGTGGTGGTTTTATATCTTCCCAAAGTTAACCATTCTGACCTCTCTGTCCACGACTACTCACGTTCTCAGACAGTTTTGTAAATATATCCGGTCTGCAGATAGGCGTACTTCTCCTGAACTGTTTTACAGTTTTCTTTCTCTACAACTGATATTCCGTCATGATCACTTCCACATCTGCTATTCTTGAAACACGTCGAGCATTTATTTTGCTGTCATACACTTGCAAGTAATCTTTGAATCTGATGCTTCTGAAATCTGTCCTCCGAGATATATATGTAATCTTAACAGAAAATCTGCTTGTTATATTTACAGTTCCTGATGGTTTCTGGTTTCACGAGAATATCTGTAGAAACGATAATATAATAAGGACATGACCTCAGGCAAAGTTTAGTAAAAATTAATTTAATCTACCAAAAAGAAACTATTTTTATGTTCTCGAGCTCTTTTCAGATTTTATGTTGAGGAAAGTCGTTGGATTATTCATTCATACAACAGTATATATTCCGCTAAACTTGCAAGGGAATTGAGGAAAGACTGGAAGTTTGCCTTTCAGGGGTAGAATTACTTGGTCTGGTTGATTCAGAGATTTTTTGTTAATGTTTTAGATACTGCAGGAAAATATAAAGTATATTCATACCTCTGATATAGATTTTATGTTGGACGTCCTTTCCGGACAATATTCCTGAAGCAACTGTAAAGATAATCAATTAATTTAGCTGAAGTCAAAGTTTGAAAACAGAGAAAACGTGGTCCTTAAAACAAGAGATTCGAAATTATATCAAAAATACTGCAATAAATACATTAAAATGCAGTATATTTCAATGTATTAAATAATTTTAGAATGATGGCGCTTATGAGAAAAAGTATACAGTATCGAATACTCTTTTATAATTATAATCTAATCAAACATGTATAAAATGTCATTTTATAAATTCAACAAGAAAGTTTCATCTATAATAGAAAATGTGAACTAGCAATTTAAACGTTGGATGTTTTTTATTTTTATTGTTGCTGTAATTGACACAACAAGACAAAGGAAATTTTGAGTTTTGTTGGGTTTTTGTTAATTTCACTGGACACTCTCATGTCCCATGTGATAAAATGACAATTGAAGAGCAATAACACTTAAATCCCAGGTTTCGTAAATGGTTCCCCCATTATTGGACGCGCTAACAGAAACAAACAAACAAAATTTGTTAGTTGTTTGCTGTTAGTTTTTCTGTTCCACTGCATGGTCACTCTTATATCCTAATATCCGGATTTGTGTAAGATTTTATATAGATTTTAGATCCTCTTATGTCTTGAACTACAACAGAAAAAATTAGGATTTGTTGCTTTTATCTATTCTATTGCACTGTCACTCTCATATCCTGATATCCGGGTTTTTGTAAGGTTTTGTCTGTTCTAAGAGATATTCTCATGTGCTGAAGAACGCCACAAAAACTACTGGTCACTTTTATTTTCTTGAAAAATAATGTCATTTAACGGGGAAAAAACTTACAGACTGAAGTACATGTTGAAATGTATAAGCTTTATTTAACGCATAAGCTTTCAAGTCTTGGAATAACATTTCGTCAGGTTGACTTTTTAGGCTAACTGAAAAACTTTTAAAAATATATAATCAATCATGCGAGAATAGGACCTGTTACACAATGCACTTATAAAAGGTAATAAAGGAAACGATATTAGGTCTGTAAAAAAGTAACGTAATGACCTGTAGTGTATAATGTCTATCAGGTCATAATCTAGTGATCTTTCCTTTTTGAGATTAGATTTTAGTACAACCGTTTGAAGGTAGGATTAAGGAGTTTCATATTTAGCTGATTGTCACCCATTCTATGTTTTTTATTTCTATCTCTTGGGCCTGCTTTTTATGTTTTTTTTAAAAGTTTCTTTTATTCCCCTCCTGCTAGTTAGATTTTCAACAAGAAAAGTGGCACCTTCTTTAAGTCTAAGTCTGTCTAAGTCTAAGTCTAAGTCTCTAAGTCTGTGGTAGGAAACAGTATTCTGCTGTATTTCGTGATGTCCAAGGGAGTTGGTAGTAGCCGGTGTTTCTGGAGTCTAAGCTTTAATGGTCTTTTTGTCTCCCAGATGTATTATTTACTGCATTTACACTTAACTCCAAATATGGCATGCTTCTGTTCACAATAGACATAGGCTGTTGTTTTCTTAGTGCAAAGCGATGGGCTATCTGCACTCTGTCCAGCAAGAGAAGATGAGCCTCGACTTTTAGTGCTGTAAGTCTGTAAACTTACCACTGACTTCCCGGGGGACGATAGGCATAGGATTTTTTACTTTTTGTTAAAACATATTTACGTTTTCTGTCATTTTTGATGATGATCCGAACTCTGTGTTTGCCCCACTTTCGGTGAATGCTTCATGAAAATCCTGGTACTATGATGGAATGGTTGTGAGTAGCTTTTCGGTTTTGCGATTTTGTATAGAAAAGTTTTATTGTCTGCTCCGGTAGGTGTGATTTGTTTTTGTATTACGTGGGAAGGGTAACCAATTTTTGGAATACGTGATATAAATGTTTGAGCTAGTCATTGAGGAACTTGTGATCATAACTATAAGATAATATGATTGATTGATGGTGGATGGCATGAGGTGTAATTGAAATACTAGTCGTTGCGCATTGGTTCTCATGAAGTTGTGGTGATAATATCTTGAGCATTTTGAGTATTAGAGTGACAAGAAAAGGTCGTTTTCGATTTCTATTATAAATTGAATAGAGAACCAGTGCTAATTATGTTACTTTTTTCAGACCTATTCATAATTTCGTTTATTACTCATTAGTAACCAGTCCATAAAGGATACATTAAGATACCTACTTGCCTGATGTGCACCGTAGTAATCATTCTTTCAATCTGTTTTCGCATGACCTTTTGGTTTCTCAGTAGGAAAATCTAAATATTATATATATGACATATATATATCAAATATCATTTCAAGAGTGCAAAATAAATGGAAAATTATCATAACTTATAAAAAAATCTACTTTTAACGTGTAAAAGTGTATGGGTATTTTGACTATAAAAAACACCACACAAAAATATTTCCACCTATTAATCTAATCTTTTGGTGCAATAGTATGATCGAACTAAATGCTGTTTTCAGAAAGAAGAACAGATGTATTTTAGTTAATCCAAACTGAGGTACATGAACTTAAAAATATGTGGGGGAATGGAGGGTATGATAAAATAAGAAGAGCAAAAATCCTAAATTTCACACAATTTATTTATAACATAGCATATTATTACAGTATTCCTTATTACCTCACCAAAAGTTTTGTATAAACTTTAATAACTCACTATGTATATACTTAAAACATGTGTAAATGTGAACGTCGTGTAGACTAGTCGTTAGAGTTCGAATTAAATCCAGTTTACAATAGATTTATTTAAAATCCAGGTTAACAGTCGTGAGTGTAGTACACAAGTCACTAGCTCAAGGAAATTTACAGTTAGAATAAAGAACTGACTCGGAGACTCTGTTACTGACACTTATCCATTGTTAAACATTTAATAGAATAAATTGTCTTTTTCCTTACGAACCAGTTCCAATTGTATCAAAATTTCAGGGTTTCTTTTGTTTATCTGTCAGATGACATTCCAAAATGCCCAGAGCAGGTAAGTTAGATTCAGATAAAGGCTCTGGACATTTCTAGACGTTTAGTCTCTAACTGCTGGACACAAGATGCGATATAGTAAAATACATTATCATACTTAAAGAAATACAGTCTTTTCGTGGAAGGTCACCAAATAGGTGACGATGTCATAACACACTCAAGATTCGTCCATTACCATTGAACCAGGTTGAAAAAGAAACACACCATGACATTATCCTCACCAAATTTGAGACAATATCATCATATCCAAAGTGTTCTCCAGGTTTCAGTCAAACACAATCTCGTCCAAACAATTACTAGCAGATTTAGCTCTCTACATAAAGGTTTTCTCGTTTGTCTTTCACTCCAGTTTTGATTTATAAGCTCTGTGAAATTGATGCCTTGAATTCAGAACTGTGATTATAATTACGAGCTGCAGCCTGGTCAACAGTATGAAGCTTGCTGCAAATTGTGGTCTGCAGTCCCGAATTCTTATTAAAAGTCTTGGTAATGGGTTTAACAATACTTTGTAATTTCTTTTCACAACATATTTCAAAACCTGCTTGAACTAAAGTAATGAATTTTGGATGGCCAAATTCATATACCAATTAGCACATCGGAGAGCTGAAGTGTTTCAAAATTCACACAGGAAAGTCCACAAACTGTATATCATTTTAACCTTATTTCATGACATTTCAACTCCATCTGGCTGGTTGTCATCATAATCATCATCTTCATGATAGGTGTTAAGCCAAAAATGAATATAATAAAGAACTTGATGGACTGTAGTTGTTTGGTGCTCGAGATATGAGCTCGTGTTATTAATTACACGTGTGTTGTAGAGTTTATTGTGGTAGATTTTAAACAAATCCATCCGGGCTGAGGACTAGATGACGAAGTTGGATATAATTTTCACCGTACCGTAGTCTATCATTACTCTGTCGAAGTCCAGAGCTGCAGCACGCCATGGTAGTCAGAGGCCAAATCTGCCGCCTCCAGAGGGGCAGGACCGTACCTGTACACCTTTTTTCTTATCTGATAAATGTACAATACATAATATATTTTCCAAAAAGTAAATACATATAAACAGATTACGTTCTGTAGACAAGAGCATTAAATAAAGATCTTTTGAGGTATAATAATAAGTAATGCTTCATTTAGTACATGTTAGCATTTGTCGATAGCAAGTAAAATCTAAATAAACTGGAATAGGTAAACGTACGAATAAATAAGAATGACCTTGAGATAAACAAGGTAAGGTAAATAAATAGCGAAAACATAAAAACAATTTACATTTTGTAAGCAGGAATACTAACTAGTGACCATTTGAGGTACAGTAGGTATTGTATAAATCAACAGGTGTTGGCATTTATCTATAACAAGGTCAAACTAAACAAATTGAAAAAGAACAAGGTGCAGATAGATAATAATGACCTTGAAATAACCGAGATAAAGGTACCTGTAAGATTATATAATACATGTCCAATATTTAAAACAGTCACGACATTACTAAATTTGCAATATCAATTTACTCTGAGTGTGTAAGGCTTTTGTATAATCAACCATTGTAATACAGCAAATGTTTTCACAACTTATATATGTATGGGCATGCATTTTTCAAGAACAAGGTAGGTTATAAATACATCGAAAATAAGCTAAGTAAATATAAAGACTAATAACCTTAGAGGGAAAAAACATTAATAGTAGTAATAATTGTAATAATGATAATAGTAATATTAGATGAACAGGTTATATGCTTCAAGGTGGTTTTATAAATTTCATGGGTTAGATAGAGTCTGAATGAGATTGTATAGAGATATGTATTTCTTCCAAGAAGAATGGGTAGTCGGAATTCAGCTGGCAAGGAATTTCTGTTAGTTGATTTGTCGTAGAACGTTTTAGCTAAGTTTTTGATACGTTCTTGAATGGTTTGTAGATTACTAGTTTTCTGTAGGTATGCACTAAGCGTGTAGATTGGTAGCCTATGAGCAATATGAATCACAGCTGAATGTTGTGCGTGTAATGTGATTTGCTTTTCATTTGGCACAAGATGAGGCCCACATCCTTTGTCCGGGTTATGAACTTAAAAAATGTAGGAGTGGGTGCTATGATAAATAACATAAAAATCCTAACTTTCACACAGTTTGCTTCATAACATAACATATTATTACACTATTCATTATTACCTCACCAAAATTTTGGTATAAGCTTTAAGAACTCACTATGTATATACTTAAAACATGGTATACATTGTGTGATGGTCAGGGTGACTTTGTACGAAGAGGTAATGGCAAAAGTAGTGGCGGTAGGGGTGCTTTCTGTTACCCGCTTTCAATACCCAGCTCTTAGTGTCCTTCTACACTGTTTCACGTTGTTAATTAATTGACGATTACTGGTTGCAGAAGTGTCTTATGGGACGAAGTTGTAAGGTCACGGATCAAAGTAGGAAATGGGAATAACTCAAGAAACGGCTCTTTATATCAGCGTTATAGTGGCTGTTGTCGTATCCACTTAATCTGAGTTTTTGTATCATTGCAATAGTGGTGGCCATTTTTTTTTCCATTGAATCCTCCATAGAGAGTTCTAGCACACTCTCTGAGATATGTAAGACGTTTTTGTGCCCTCCCCCACACTGTGTGTATGTTGTGTTATAGAAAATTTAATGTATATGTATGTTTTTTCCTCATAGCAAAGTCACATAGAGATATCTGCTATGTCCACCGAGACGAATCGAGCACCTGATTTTAGCGTTGAAACTCCAAAGTCTTACCGCTGTTCCACCGGGAAACGGAAAAAAATAATAAATTGTTTTTTGTTTGATGTAAGAACCTGGCGTCATCTATGAATGTAGTTAACCTTAACTTACGTCAAATATAATAAACGCTCAATAACAGCAACGACTGTGGTTGAGGGGTTGTGAACCCCCATTAACATGCTCCTTGTTGCAAACTATCATCCCACAAAGTTTGGTTGAGATTGGCCCAGCGACTTAGGAGTAGTTACATAAGGGACAAACAGACAGACACACAGATGTATTTGTAGTTAATAAAAATCTAACCTTGCCTTGTTCTTTAGGTTAAACTAGTGTAGTCTGGCCGTATCTGTGGATATGCTAACTGGATCGTGGCGAATCGTTAGGTTTCTGGTTTTGGTGGTCTTGGAGCAGAAGTTGTTATTTCTGTGGTTTGTCATCAGTGATGCTTAGGATTTAGAATTTAAGATGATTTTGCTATTTTAGTACTTGAGAATATTTTTCACAACCTCGGTATAACACTGCATGCAGTTTGTATCGTTCCTTTACCTTCGGCATTCCGAAACAGGGTGGAAATCACCACACCTTACACCTGGTTCTTATGGCTTTTAAAGTGCCCGAATTTTTACCAATTCAAACACTGAAGTATTGGCGTTTGTGAGGTTTTAGCAACTTCAACTGTATGATGTGCGTACCATAGATTTAATTTGTTTTTGATTAGGCTTGTTGACTGCTCTGTATTTTGAAGAGTAATTCTTAACAAAGGGGTGATCTGACCTGTTTTGTGTGAATTAATCCTTACCTTACAGCAGCAGCTGCTTCAAAACCTTGATCTTTCAACTAGAAGAAAATCTCGTCTCTGGTGATGTCTAGTTGAACGTTATGTATCACAATTGTATTTCAATGTTAGTAGAGGATTCGCCTGGGACAACTGGCTGTCTGCATTAGTTACGGACTTTTATAAACTCTATGCGACAATGTATGATGTAATTATTATTTAAATCTCATTTTGCTGGACAATATTATTCGCTGCAAGAGTTCAATTTTCCATTGTTTGTTATTTATTATTCTTTGAATATCTAATCAGTTTCTTGAATTCACTTATGTTATTCTTAAATATTTACTTAGTTTAATATGTCGTTACTTTAATTAAACGTCTTTTTTTCATGATTTATCTCATCTAACACTACACAACCAATTAATATTTTCTGTTGATTCTCATACCTTTCTTTGCTGTATTTCACCTTAAGAATATGTTATTGAGTCACACGTTCTTTGTCTTTATTTATTTTAACTGGTTATTATACCCAATCTCTTTTAAAAGCTGTTTCATTTTCACTACAAATCCGCTGAAAAGCTGTTACGCGAAGCATTGTTTTAAAATTAGTCAATGATGAGTGTTTGACATTGTTTATTTTCTTCTATACTTTGTTGAAAGGCTAGGACAATAAAACATTCTTATGTTGTTACTTTCTTAGTACAAAGTTACATAATAGGCTATCTGCTATCTGTCCACAACAGGGTGTGTGTGTTTTTTCTTATAGCAAAGCCACAAAGCTGAGTCCACCGAGGGGAACCGAACCCCTGATTTTAGCGTTGTAAATCCGAAGACTTACCGCTGTTCCACCGGGAAACTCCACCACAGGGAATCAAACCACGTATTTGTTCGTTGTAAGTCCAGAAACTTAACGCTGACCTACCAGGAGTCATTTCCTTTTATGAAGAGAACAAAATTCATCCCCAAATCTCTCAAAAGGCAAAACTTAATAAACGAATCTAAACAAATTTCGTATAGTAATTCATTTGGTAACATAAATAATCGGTTCTATTTTGTTTGTCTGTGTGTGTGTGTGTTTTCCTCTATTTATCAACGGTAGTCGTATATTTTAAAAATATCTTAAAAACAAAATTATTGCGACTGAAAATATAATTTCAAGAAATCATCTGAAAAGTTTTGTAGCTTTTAATGTAACCTTATAGTATATAACAAAATATCCTTAAAACACTGATTGGATGAGATGAATAAACCATTGGTTCGCTAAATTGGATTTAGCTTTAAAAATGAAATTATTCCATGTTTTTCATAAAATTGTGTTTTTAAACATAACTATGAAAATATTAAACTTCAAATATCAGAAATATAGACTTACCATGATTATGATTCCAATAGAAAAGCTCAAAAAAAGAAAACACATCAAAGGTACACGAAATAAAAGAGCTGCATCTGAATGAGAGTACCACAACATACTGAAGATAGTGTTTTCTATTGCTGTAACTGTGTAATACAGGATGTAATCTCTCTGAATGGGTGCAGACTTGTAGTTGAAATAACAAAACGTGGAAATAATTCCCCTTACAGCTGACAATAGGAAATCTTCTGTATTGCTTTCAGAAATCAGAATAATACT